GGGATATAGTATATTTAGTGTTGGATGATTAAAGGAGGACAATATTAAAATCGCCTAGCAACGACCCAGCATATAAAGTATCAACATTGAATACGGGTGCATAATGCCTAGGTCTCACTGGGGAAAAAATCATCGGCGATGTGGAAATAAACAAACTTAATCCCGATGGCTCTCGATGCTCGGGAAATATACGTCGAAAATACATCGGGAAAACTGAAAATTTTCTTAGTTCTCCCGAGGCCTCCCGGTGGTTCCACATGGGGTCTCTGAACATACTACATGCTGATTTCTTGCCCTTGCGAAGCGAAGCATAGGATGTCCATATCAAATTTTGTCATTCTACGTCAAGCTGGTCTGTAAAATGTACTTTGGTTTGAGATTCACTTCAAGTTGACATACATGTATAATTATACAAGCCTTGCAAGACCACAATAATGACGTAGTAAATGTGACGGCATATTTATTATTGTAAACCCTAGCATGGAGTCTCTATCTGTTGATTAGTCTTTTACGGACTTCCATAAATATTCAGGCTTGTGCTCAGGGTTTGCTCAGTGCAGTATATTCACAACGAAACTGTTATTTTAAAATTAAGGCTCCAACGAATGTTCATGTTCTAGTTCTCTTCCTTTATCAGAAATACGGCCGATGATTTAGAAATTTGAATAGTTTGATTTTCAAATGAACCGACCATATGTGACACCAGTATAGGAAAACTATGTTCGGGCCTGCGGGCTATCTTACATTTCCAGTATTTCATCATTCAAAATGTGTACTTTTATGCTTAATTTCCTATCACTGGCAGTCAATGTATACCCGATGCATCAGGAAGTAGAGGAAAGCTTTAGCATATCAGACACTTTCCGTGTTTTCATTTTACATAATATTCATGTTTGTTACATGTTGTATAAAGAATTTAAATAGTGCAGTCGTTTCAAAATTCAAGTAAACAAATTGTAGAAACCTGAAATTTGGCACCGTAAAAGGACCCCGATAAAACAAATATTTTTAAACGCCTGCATGGAATAAGGCTGCTGACATTTTTAAAATTACATGACAGAAATGTTGTCCTTTCACTTCTTATTTGAAATAAAATAAAACAAAATATTAGACTGTGTGAAGTTGATTATTCTGTTTAAGTCAAACCTAAAGTACCGTAGTTTAAAGATACATTATAGGAGATAAGATAAAGAGATGGCAGTTCTCGCTATAATAGTTAAAAACTATATAGTAAAGGTAATTTGCTGAAAATTTCAGTCAAATTGATTCACTATGAGCCGAGAAAGAAGCGGGTGAAATTTTTGCATAGTCTCGGTCATCATTACTAAAATCATTAATAAAAACAGCATAGTCTCGATTATCCACTTTTATTGATTTAATTATCAATAGCCGTTAGCGGCATATATAGGAATCTAATCCAGCCAACATCGAAGGCTAGCCTTGACATCGAGAGTTTATTATGGTCTGGATAAGTTAATTAATGTCTAATTGATAATTTAGATAACATTTCAGGCCTAAAGAAAGACTTGTAATAAGCAGATTTTGCTCTTGCATAATGCATGTTTAATGTTTCATTAATGTAGAAGGACATTAAACAAACAATAACGCAACTATATGAATAACAAGTACTGGTTTATTATACTAGAGACGTTTCGACGATGGTACTAAAAGCACAGCCAGATATTGAAAGAAGCTGAACAGAAGTTCGAATCTGTGTTGTTAAAATTCAATTTCCAACTGTCAAGGGTTCTTATAGTTGCACGCCAAGGGGTACACGGGAGCTCGGGTTTTCGTCCCATCAAAACGAGTAGACTGCCTTCAATCTGGCGTTCCCTGGGGAGCCTAATGGGAGATATACGAGGTGGGGCAACGGTGGACCAATGGGCGTTATATCCTACTCTTGTAATAATGTTTTATTTTCTTAATATATTTGTTTTAAAACATTTTTTAAAAAGATATAAATATTATGTCTACTTCCTTTTTATTAAACATATTTCTTTGTCGGTTTTCATTTTAAAAATGACTTTTCAAAAGAATTTATGACATCTTCCATTGAGGTTCCTGATAATAATCTAATTCTTAAGTGGCGGCTATGGGCCATCATACAAAACAGACAAACATATATAGCATGTGTCAATGAATTTTCCTATGGTTAAAGATACCTTAGATCAAATACCATTACTACGGTTAGATGCGTTGCGTTTTGGAGTAGTATAAGGAAGACAATGACAGGCATGTATACACGAATAAGGGATGTATCAGAAACATTATTTCATCCTTTATCCAGAGCTTAAGGCGATCTATATATGGTACCTGCTGTATATGAAATGGGAGATCGCTACTATTGTTATACTAGTGATAATCAGTGAACCGGTATATGAAACATGACACAATTATATGGAATACAAGCTACTTTAATATAGTACTAGTGGCCAGATTCTCTTGTCTTTATCAAGCTAATCATGCATTCGCGAAACGTGACTGTATACATGTACATTAAGTTTATATGATTAGTGCTAAATGATAAGGTCAGCTCAGTTTTTCGTCATAGGTCACGAGGTGTAAATAGGGCTAACGCTAAACCCAACCCCAACCCTGGACTTAGTCCCAATGCTTAGCCTAACCCTAATATACAATCTCGACAACAATCACGTGCCCTAACATTGTTTACATAACGACCATAACAATTTAGTCATGTAATTGTGATTATTTCTATCACTTAACTTTTAACTCTTGTAAAGCGTTTCTGAAACGAGTGTGTAGAAAGCTATATAAAAAAATTAAATTATTATTATTATTATTATTATTATTATCCCATCTGACTGTGACATATTTTTAAGGAATCGCCCTATCAAATTATTTAAAACTCGACCGGCCGAGCAGATATGAAAGCTTTCATATTTATCGTCAATTCCGGTCAGATGTTAATCGAAGATAAGAATTAACCCGTGTCAGACGTTCAGATAAAGTGGTAAAATACGCTATAAGTACCCACCCTTTTGAAGTGTGCAAGCTTGTCTACGATATCACCCTTGGTGGAAGTGGACGTAAAACTCCAGGAACGAACGAAGTGTGCAAGAGGTTTACCCGATGTGATTAAAAAAAACACTCTGATGAAGTGAAGGAAAAATTGATAAAACACGTTTTATTAACACCTTGTATGTATGTCGAAGTGATCAAGAAGTGTAGATATAAATGTTGCTATATAATATAAGTGTCACAGAAATAAATAGTATGTGAACTGAGATTATTGAAGTGGTCTTGAAGTTTACATTTCATTTATATGGCTTCATCATCAATTCCATATCACTTTTGCCTTCTTTATTTCTTTGAAAACTTGGCGTGTTGTGTTTGCCCGATTTTCAGTTTATTTATTGTCTTGTTATCATGTGATAATTCCTGTTCAAGTGGGGGATATTTCTTATATAAACCAGTCTTCTTCCTTCCTTGATCAAACTGAATAATGTCATTGGAATAAATGATTTTTTTTAATCTTCATCATCACTGTGGTTTGTCAAAATTATATCACTATTTCCTTTTCAAACTATCCCTATAGGACCGGCTTAATATTTTTATTTCCATTTGAGCGTCGCCTTTGGCATTTGGCATTTCTTCTTTTGAAAAAAATATAACTAAAACAAAGCATGGTACATGTATATTGTTCAGGTGAGACACATATATAAATTGTATTTTGCTATTTTACTTAAACACAATGTCATTGTCCTTTCATCATCAAAGAGAAATCACACAATGTCATCACAAAAGACGAAAAGGCTACCTTAAATTTTAAGATTTTGACACTTGCGACGTTTTTGCGTTAAGCTCGCCATATAAATTATTATATCGATTCAAAAAATTCAATTGAGTTAATTGTTTTTAACAATGTCATTTGAAGAAGCGATCAGTGATTTCTATACTGGACCATTTTTACTCTCTGTACGTCTTACAATATCAACTCTTCACTTCGTTTAATTTCACACTGTTACTACTATGTACATTGAGCCATTTGCAATCTGCATTCATTATTTATTTATTTGTTGTTTTGGTTGAGTTTTTGTCTTGGGCGTAATTGGGGGAAAGGGAGGAGGGGGTCTGTTTCACACCATTGTTAAAAACTGTCTTATTCTGCTAGCATGACATCCATTGCCGCTTGGGAGCAGATAGTAAGGCAATGACTCGCTTATGTGGCGGAGGGAGGGGGAGGGGGCTGGGCAGGGTTCGATGCCGTTGTGTATAGAAATTTCATTGGGGTTTTTTAACGTAGTTTCTCATTAATGTGGCGCATGTTGGGGTGCCTAGCAAGATGGGACAAAAACGAGGCCACATTAGTTGGCGTAAACGTAAAATAAACCATCACATTAGCCCGGTGGAAACAAACACTGGGACGTTAAACCCCATTCCCGTTCATGTTTCCATTTACGCTTTCCGATCATACTCACAAAACGCAGCTCTGTTTGCCAATACGGACAGTTTGATTGATTGGTGTGTTCATGTGACATGGGCTACAAAGAAGATAAATGTGGCGCATGTTGGGGTGCCTAGCAAGATGGGACAAAAACGAGGGCATATTAGTTGGCGTAAACGTAAAATAAACCATCACATTAGCCCGGTGGGTACAAACACTGGGACGTTAAACCCCATTCCCGTTCATGTTTCCATTTACGCTTTCCGATCATACTCACAAAACGCAGCTCTGTTTGCCAATACGGGCAGTTTGATTGATTGGTGAGTTCATGTGACATGGGCTACAAAGAAGATAAATAAAGTCAATTTGTCAAGTAAAGCATCAGAAATAGGATTAACGCAATTGACATCTGATTATAATCAGATTATATTTAAAATGGTCATTATTTTTGTGAAAAGTTAATACTACAAATTATATGGGGTTGGGGTGTTTTAATTTGTTCTTTCTAATCCAAAGCTTCGATTTTCGATGATAAAATGAATATAAAATTAATTACTTTTACATCACTTTTAACTACACTTTAATTTGTTTTCAGAAATAGGGTTTCTATCTTGAAGATACAGAGTGAAGAAATATGGATTGGGACGAAACGTTTGAAAGGTGACCACCTCTTCGTTATGATCATTGCACACTGAACCAGTGATTAATAAACAAGCGCCACCATGTTTAACTACAGCTTCTACAGCTTTAACGACACCTTCAAATCAGGCAACGAACATTCAGGTTTAAGGGAATTTGAAAGTAGTTTTTCGATTTTCCACGGCTATGCGAGTATAGTTGTGTGTATATTTGGCGTGTGTACGAATGTATTCAATATAACCATACTGACCAGAAGGGATATGAGAACACCTACAAATATAATTCTATCGTGGTTAGCAGTAGCCGACATCATGACAATGTTGCCGTATATACCCTTTGCCATACATTTCTATTGTCCTAACTCGCCACCGTTTATTGCTCCTGAAAAGTATTCCTATAAATGGATACTATATATGTTATTCGTGATCAACAGTGCAGCTACGACCCATACGATCTCTAACTGGTTAGGTGTTTCTTTGTCGTTTTTCCGCTTTCTTCAAATGAGATCTACGAGCCGAGGACCTTTAGCGAAAGAACGTCGAATTACGCAAGTGAAAATAGTTACCGTTATCATTTTTTTAACTTCGTGTGTGATTCTTGTGCCCAATTACCTTACTAATGAAATAGAATCCCACCCGGGACCACGAAACACGACTATATATCGAGTTAAATCTAATGAAACGGATGGACTTGTGGTGATAAATTTTGTTATTTACGCCGTCGTTGCGAAAGTTGTGCCATGTTTATTCATGATTGTATTTAGTGGATCTTTAGTGTACACAGTTAGCTATAAAAACCGCCATAGAAGGAAAAGACTGGCGGCGGCGGGCAAGAAATCCAAACGGGATACGCGACAGACGACCACCACACGAATGCTGCTGGTTGTGATTGTGCTGTTTCTGTTAACAGAACTACCGCAAGGAATTATGATCCTAGTTAGTGCCAGTATTCCACATTTTTATGATAATGTTTATTCACTTTTAGGAGATTTCATGGACTTCATAGCCTTACTAAACACAGCCATTAATTTTGTATTGTACTGTATTATGAGTCAACAATTTAGATATCGCTTTATTCAGATGTACTTGAGACGAAAGCGTCCACACCAAGTGTTAGAAGATACAGGAAATACATCGGAAAGACTCTATTTAAAAAAATCTTTAGGAAAAATTTCCGGCACTTACTAGTTTAAAATTAGCACCATTCTCTAATATTCTAGAATCAGAAAACATTCTAACAATTGAAAGTAGAACTTTTTTATGGTTTCGTAAAAGCTCTGTAGGGTATCCAATACATCACATTTCTCACATTTAATTTATAACGGATTCATTTTGTAGCCTATATAATAAAAAGTTTCTGGTAAATAATACATGAAAAATAACCGTGTTATAGATTGGCCGTTTGCCAACTCAATCAATACATCGAATGGTTCTTCGTCCGAGTGCTTCGGGTTTGGATCCCAGTATAGGCCGAATAAACCGCCGGCATGTTTTAATCCCGATTCTCCATACCGGTTGCACGAACATAACAGTAATATGACGAAATAAGATTATTGAGAGTTATGTTCTGTCGCTGCTACTGATTGTAACTATGGTCTCAACCCAGGTGTCCAACAGCAGCAAATGGACACGAATGAAACGGAACTTCGGATGGCAAAGACTAAATCCCGGGCTATTTATTTCCGTAGGGAATGATGTAGGGGACATATGGGACATGTCACTACATATGTTTATAAATGCTGTTTAAGAGGTGTTTAGGAGGGGTCTTAGGGGTATACTACTTTGCCCTTTGTTACAACCCCTACTGTAATAAATGTAATAATTGTAATAAAATTTCACTTAACCCCTATTGTAATATCAACCCTTCTTGTAATAAATGTAATAATTGTAATAATATTTCACTTAACCCTATTGTAATATCAACCCCAATTGTAATAATTGCAATTAATGTATTTTACCATACCATAAAATCGACATCTAAATTTAAAAGTCTATGCATTTTGATCACTATTTCCATATCAATATAGGAGTAATGGTATGCGTTTATACTGCATAGAATATTATGAAATAACACCACCGAAAACATGATTAAAAGCCGTTAACGAGTTGAGAGAAACTATTAAAATGGAATGTCAACCCCAATGTAATCAATGTTACTTAAATAAACGTGAAGTATGCTCTCTGAAAAACCTGTCGTTTGAGGATTTTGAACATCTTTTCCGAGTGCATATCAGATAAAATTATCCTCGAGATAGCATTTTTAGATGCTTCACTACACTTAATAATATTTATTACAATAGGGGTTGCACGGTATAACCACTATTGTAATAAAAAAAAATCCTCTCAACCCCTATTGTAATAATTGTAATAAATGTGTTTTGCTATACCAATAGCATTTAAGACATCTGTTCGTGGGTTTTGTTTCATAATATCCTATACAGTATTTTGACATACCAGTAGTCTTATATATGGATGCGGAAATTGTGATCAAAATCCATAGACTTTTAAAGTTAGGTGTCGATTTTTTTGGTATGCAAAAAAAACATTTATTACAATTATTATAATAGGGTTTAAGAAAAAATTTATTACAATAGGGGTTATTCCGTGTTACACCTATTGTAAACTCAACCCCTACTGTAATAATTGTGTCTAAGAGTAGTGAAGCATTTAAAAGTAGAAAAGTAGTTAAGAAAATGCTATCAGGAGGATTATATTATCTGATATGCACACGGAAAATATGTTCAAAATCCTCAGACGACAGATGTTTCAGAGAACATACATCACGTTTATTTAAATATCAACGATTACGATAGGGATATACATTTTATTTTAATAATTACTCCAAACTCGTTAACAGCTATTAATCATTTTTCCGGCGGTGTTGTTCATGATATTCTATGCAATACTCTTATTTTCATACGGAATTGGTCAAATCCATAGACTTCTAAAATTAGATGTCGATTTTATTGGTATTGCAAAACATATTTATTACAATTTTTACAAGAGGGGTTCAGAGAAATTTTATTACAGTAGGGGCTATACCGTGTAACCCCTATTGTAATATCAACCCCTATTGTAATAAATATGTCTAAGAGTGGTAAAAGCATTTAAGAAAATGCTATCAGGGGGATTATTTTATCTGATATGCTCACGGAAAAGATGTTCAAATTCCTCAGACGACAGATTTTTCAGTGAGCATATTTCACGTTTATTTAAATATTGATTACAATAGGGGATGACATTTCATTTTAATAATTTCTCCAAACTCGTTAATGGCTTTTAATCATGTTTCCGGTGGTGTTGTTTTGTGATATTCTATGCAGTACTCTTATTTTCATACGGAAATGGTGATTAAAATCCACAGTGTTCTAAAATTAGATGTCCATTTTTTTTTTTAATTTTTGGGGTATGGCAAAACACATTAAAATTTATTACAATTATGACAATAGGGGTTGAGAGAAATTTTATTACAATAGGGGTGATACTGTGTATTCGAATGATGTTGCTTTTTAGTCACCTAAAGATTCTCAAAGCTGATTTGAGAGTATATTTCGTTGCCTGGCAACCTATCTATCTTCAGTTTATCCAAACATCAGTTTAACCCCGAGAAGAGCAAAATCGTAATGATGACTCTTCAGCCAATTAGAAGGCTGGTGTAGGAATCTTAATAATGGTTGTTTTTGTATGAACCATAAATTGAAAACAACAAAGGAAAGGTGCACAGGAAAAGAAAATAGCGATATATGGCTTTATCACTTAAACAAGCTAGATAATTAGAAATGAATATATTGAAAATTTCATTCAAATCATTTTATTTTGATTATCATTTTCTTGATTATCATGTACCATTATCATGATAATAAACAAAGTCTCGATTGTCCATTTCAACGTTAACCGATTATATGGAGCGGATGGTCTAATCAATTTAATATCGCAGTCATCCGATGTTCTAGAGAATTGATTATAGTCTTGGCATGTGAATAAATGTCTATATAACATTAAGCACGTGCTCCCCTTGCCCCCACCCCGCCTGCTAGCTACGGGTCTGAATAGCCTTAGCTCAAGGGCCAGATTAAATCAATATTAAATATTATGTTGTGTATCATGTTTGTGCCAAATAAATGTATCTACCATATAGACATACACATAGCAGTTGTGCTTGTGTGACGGGCAATGACCAGAATAAACACCCTTTTCACTCTTGATGCTAAGATCATTTTAACTTTATACAAAGAAGGTTAATGTTTTTAAAAATAGTGAAATCGGTGTTTAAAAAAAACAAATTAGACAACACATTTCCCTGTTTCCCTGGTTATAATATATATTAGATAGCGAAACATTCAAATGAGGACTAATGGGATAAATGCAAGGAGTATTGATACCCACAACAACTAAATAAATACATGGAAATTATGGATTAAACTGCAATGAATATTAATGACTGTTATACTCATGTCATTTCATGAATATTATGCTGACATTTCGGGTAGATGTAAACTTCTCTGTTCGTAGTGGCCCGTCTAGTGTAACTTCAAATTGTTCCAGAGGTCTGTGTTGTAACAGTTCCTATTAAAGATACATTGTCGTGTGGGCATCGTTTACGTTATATATGAATAATAGGACACGTGTTGTTTAATAACCCAACTACTATAACGTATTAAAATGGTACTTGACATTTCTTCAACGATCTTATAAGAATATCATTGAGTAAACTTTGATTTTGCCAACCTTTCGTCCACAGTATACAATAATCAAATATTGGTTTGTTGGTTTTGTGGGGTCTTCGCCAAAATACACACAGGGATAATGCTACTGACGTATATGATCGTATGTCACAGAATAAGGAACTTACGTTCAATTTACTTTGTATTTGGTGAGATATTTACTGATGAAATTGACAGTTCACGACTGTCATATAACTTAATTCACGATCTTTCCCATTTCACCTATATCTTTAATTGTAAGACAATTATTTATCAGCCTTGCGTCTACATGGAAGTAATCTATACATGTATCCAATGATACGTATAAGTCATAAAATGCATGATTAAATTATAAGATAATTGGAATCAACTTCTGACAGTTACTTCTAGTTTATAACTAGTTAAGTGCGGACTGTTATAAATGTATAGTCATGGGGACAACCCATCAACAAATCTGGTTCGATAATGAATACTCATATGCAAACCGCATCCTAATTACAGAAACCTCTCTATTGGCAAGATTTAAAGAGTTACCAAAAATCAAATCAGTAGGGCTCTTCATTATTGTAAAGGCAGCTTTGGTTAACATTCCTGTGAAATTACTATCGTTTCACGTACTTGTAAACTGGATAGGACCTAAATAACAGTATTGTTCCGATAGTCTCAGCTGCGTTTTGTCAAGCTATTTCTTCCAGAACCAGAGATTCTATTCTTTGCTCTACTGTGGCTCATTATTATAAGATTCTGATTGACAGATTCACTTACAAGTAAAAACTCCAAGGGGATCCGCCGTAAACATTCTTCGTTTTTATTTTTTCAATGAAGCTAATTCTGTTTAATTTAGATTAAAATAAAGTGTTGAATTGGGTTGATCTGATGTGTTAGTGATGGTATTATACGATTACATAATTTATATTTAGATGAATTAAACATTCATTTTTCTCTTATATTAACATTGGCTTTATCAATAGGCGTACAAATGTCATAAAAAACAATGAAATCGAAAATCTTGTTTTTGACTCAAATCAAAGCGCTCTGATACAACTGTTGGTGAAATAAAATACAAACACTAGTGAAATAATAATTCTTTTCAGTGATGGTTGATATATCGACCACTAGAAAAAAGAACTGTTTCACATAGGGTTTGGATCCCATTTCTTCTAACTGATCTCTATTCATAATATGACTTTTACCTTTATATGCGGGAATTATATCAATACTGACCAGAAGAGCGCGTCACATTTGCACCCATAATAAAATTCATGAGAAATTAAGAAACGTCACTGGTTCCCTAATTTGATACAATAACTACCCATTAAAATTTGTCAAGAAAATTATCAGTAGCACTATTGACAGACTAAATAAAGCCCTCGATGTTACCATTAAAGTTAAAGCCAAAGTTCGTTTCAACATCCATTTATAGGTCCAACAAGTCATAAGATAAAAAAGTTATTAACTTACTTAAATTTAGGTGTAACCTTTAGTCGTGCAGTATCATAAAAATCGCAGATCATCGCCAACTGAAACACCAAATGTGGATCCTAAAGATATAGTGTACATAATCAATGTATTTGTAAATACACGTATTTATGGAAAACATGCCGCTCGTTATCTATGAGATTTAAAGAACGTAAACTAGCAACTAGACGCATGAAAGCCTATAAATCTGCAAAAGTCGAACACATCACTGGAAATCCTACCCACAACAAAGAATGTTTTGACTAGAAATATTCATGTATGGAAAAAAGGCGTATTGCGGGAAGCTTTACATATCCGACGACATAACCTAAAATGAACAAAAACAATGACCGGGCTATATCAAATGTATCATTTGACCTGTACTATATTATAATAAATAAATGTTGAAAATATGTTAAATGAGTTATGCTTATGGTTAGCGGTATGTATTATTTAATTTTGAGTTTATGATTACAAGGAAGTCAGTGGTGGAGGTGTCACCCT